ACTGGACCAATAAGCAACATCATGGTAAAGAAAAGATTGAAGTTGTCAAGGATTTCATTTTCCTTGAATCCACAATCAATGTCCATGGAAGCAGCAGTCAGGAAATCAAACAACGTATTGCATTGGACAAATCTGCTGCAAAAGACCTCTTTAAAGTGTTAAAAAACCAAGATATCCCTTTGAGGACTAATGTGTGTCTGACCCAAACCATGGTATTTTCATTTGCCTCATATGCATGAGAAAGCTAGACAATGAATAAGGAAGCACAAATGAGAATTGATGCGTTTGAATTATGGTGTTGGCGAAGAATATTGAATATACTATGGACTGCCAGATGAATGAACAAATCCGTCTTGGAAGAAGTACAGCCAGAATGCTCCTTAGAAGCAAGTATGGTGAGACTTCGTTTCACATACTTTGAGGGACCAGTCCCTGGAGAACGACAACATGCTTGGTAAAGTAGAGGGTCAACGAGAAAGAGGAGAATGCCCTCAATGAGATGGATTGACACAGTGGCTACAACAATGGAGTCAAGCATAAGAACGATTATGAGGATGGTGCAAGACTGGACAGTGTTTCATTCTGTTGTACATAGGGTTGCTATGTGTTGGAACCAGCTCGACTGCACCTAACAACAAGAAGCCATGTTTGGGTGACTTTCTTAAATGTTGTGTTCTGGTTTTTTAATATCCTGGCTTTCCGTCAGCTAGGTAAGCGTCTGAAAGATAACTACTATTCTGTGTATTTGATGGCTGAGAATATTCATGAATCATCCATTTTTTTCCAGTAGGACTCACTCCTGTTTCCTGTAGCATATTTGGTTCTTAACATTTAGTACTTGCTTATATTTTCTGTAATCTTTCCCACTGATTATATACCCTGTGAGGCTACCTTATTCTTTATCTATCTCTTTGTTTAACTTGATGTACTAGTTGAATTATTGTTGTTACTATTATTGTGTATGTTATATATAATATGGTATATATTGTTGTTCTATGTTATTCTTCTTGTTTATTTTACCTGTGTATGTGTTCTTCGAAGTCCAGCCCATTTTTTCTCATTAAAATGGCATGGTGATTGAGAGCATAGACTCTCAAAGCAGGTTGTTGGAATTTGAATTATGTAACATCAGTATACTTCAGTTTCATTATCTATACAATAGACATATAAATAGAATTTATATAATGTGATTGAAGCAGTGTTTGACGCGTAGTGTTATGAAAGTTTTAGTTCTTATTATTGATTGATTTGGGATAAAGTCAGTTAAAAGAACCAATTCTTAATTACTTTTCCTTTGTATGTATTCTTTAAAGATCTGCTCATATTCTCTCATTGAAATGGCCAGTTTCCGAACCTATATTTCCTTTGTTTTCTTGAACTTATAGTAGCCTGTCTCTCTTGAGGCACACTACCATGGAAATGAATGAGACCTTCAACAACTGCTCTTTGTATTTTCTTTTGATTAATTGGATACTAGCATTCAGGGATATTAATCCACCTTGTTGTTAATTCCTATTTTATATGTGCAAAAAAGATATGATAGACAGTGGGGAACACTGACAAAATTCACTGCTTGGGCATATTGTGACAGCTTTGCATTGCTCTGTGCCGCGTTGTACTAGAGGCATTAATCAGTTGTCCTGTGTGGTCTGTTGCTTTGCTGCTTAATCACTTGACTGATGGCCCTCTTGACAAAGAATATATCCAGTTTCCTACAGCTGAATTATATTTTTCAACTATTGAAATAAATCACTTTTTTAAAAAATAGTTGAAACATTTCAAGAGGGAAAGAAGAAAATGCATTTGATCTCCACGTTTAAAGTAAGGTCCAAGTATTATTAGTTTTCAAAGAAAATGTATGTATTTTGAAATTAAAAAAAAGCTATGAAACTGAATTTTATCATGGCACTAAATTTTCTTAAACTGTTTTAAGAATTACTGGTGATAGCAGATGACAGAAATGGACCCTGTGTGGGTAGCAGTAGCAAGACTTTTTATAATTCTTTTTGAATTTAATTACATAAGCAGGTATGTTTAGATTAATTTTTTTACCTTTTATTTCTGCCTTGCATACTAAAAAACCACAAAAACCACATATACTAACTAGTCACTGTTTAATTTTTTTGTACTGTTTTTGTTTGTTATTTGATTTTGTAGTAAAAGCAGCCAAAATACTGTATTGTGAAATAAGAAAACGTGTATTTTGGATTAACTCTGAAAAGCTCTCTCTACCTGAAAACTACAGTGTTCATCTTAAGTTATTCCATGATTTGTTACTAGGGTCTCATGTTTCTCTTTCGGAAGAGTTATGATTAAGCCCGTCAGAGATAGGGAGCATATGGTTCAGTGTTCAGAAGTACTTAAATCCTACTGAGTTTTGGTGATGTGAAAGTAATTGCATAAAAAAAAAGAAAAAGAAAAATGGCAGCTGTTTGTCTTCTTTTTTCCTTTTAATCAAAACTTACTAAAATACTAACATTCTTTATACTTTTTGGTCAGTATTTCTATTAAAACCTTCCTGTTGTTTTTAAAGTATAAAGGACCCTGATACTCCAGAATATGTTATTCTGTCCCAATATATTAAAAACAAAAGACAACTATAAGAAAATAACAGCAGTGATATCAAAAGAAAAAGCTAATTTTTTAGAATGAGAGTTAAAAGTGAGCTAATATAGCTAAATAATATTTGCTGAAAAAAGAGAGAAATCCGTCTTGAATAACAGGGTAGCAACAGAAGAAATAATAGGTTTCTATATTTATTTAGGCGATTGGTCAATTCTTTTGACAGATAGTGTTTTTATTTCTGTGTCAGTATTCTTCCTGCAGTATCTTTGAACTGTTGTATCAGTAGGTTAGTATTTAAATTATTTTTATATTCAAAACTGATATTTTGGCAATGACACATTAACTTTTACTGTATAACATTGGGATATTCTTAATGTATTAGCTATGTGTGTTTGTAGGTGAAAGGAAAAGTTTGTAGGATATAACTGGTTCTCTCTTGAAGTTCCTGTCATACCGAAACCTTCTCAGTTAAGGACAGTGTGTCAGTTATGATAACTCTGTTCTTTATCAGACACACTAATATTTCTCCTTCAATAGCAGGAGGCTGCAAATATAAATTGAGTTAGGGTAGATGAATTGTTTCCATCAATATAATTATGCTGCATTAGAATCCACAGGGCAGCAAACAGTCACTGAGGTAGCAGTTCATTTGAGGTTGTTGTACAAATCTATTGCATTGGTATATAGTCGTGTTTTGTTGGAGTAAGCCAAGTGGAGGCATTTGCTGAATTCTGCTGTAGTCAGTGACATTTAGCTGAATGAAATTCCTTTAAAAATTTTATAAAAGATTCAAAGTTGTAATGAAAGTGAACATCTCACTGTGTTTAGGGAAATAGTTTTAATGTTTACTTATTTTCCTACCTATCATCATCATCATCAAGTTTCTTATTATTAAGTAGTCATTAACTGTCTTGAAAAATGTCACAGATAATCCATAAAGAAAAGTATGTTCTGTTGGTGTGTGTATGTGTTTTTGACGAATGTTTGGTATATGCAGAGTACTAACTAGGCGTTTTGGGGGAAGAAACATACTTTTATAGATATAGAAGACACACTTCATACACAGTTGTATTAGATGTTAAACCTTAAGCCCTTACACTTTGAGTTTTAGGTAAGAGCTTTGATTTGTTGTGCAGCATAGTATTTAATAGCATGGACACTGAAATCAGATTACCTGTTTGTTTGTTTTTTTGTTTTTTTAAATACTGTCTTATCCATTTACAGAAAGGCTAACTTTGGACAAAGTACTTAACATCTAACCTTCAGTTTTCTCATTTGTAAAATGTGAGTGAGATTAATAAGACCTGCCTCATAAGGTTGTTATGAAAATTAAATTAGGTAATACATGCAGTGTTTAGTAGTTGGTGGTCAGTGAATATTAGCTATTATGTAATTAATTGTCAATCAATGAGAATTCTTAGGTATTCTCTAGCATTATGGCTAAGCTTCTACAGAGTATGCTTAAATCATGTTGAGAAATACTGTATACGATGGTTCATTTCACCTTTTAATTTCATCAGGTCACTTAGATTTCTAGCTGGTTAGATAGCAACTTTGTTGAGGCTCCAAGTTAAGTTCTATAAAGGTGAATAAGATCTTGAACTTTGCTTTGAAATAGCTTATTTTAAAACTTACATAGAAAGGTCAGCAAGAGAAGGGCAAAATCTGTAAGTAACTCTAAAAGAAGGGAGATTTTCAGTTTTTGTTTGTTCGTTTGCTTACTTATGGTATAAGGAATGTGTATTAGGAATTCATAAGTAAGAGATTTTATTGTTTATTTATTGTTTGAGGGATTAGGGATGGCTTTGGGAAGAAGTAATGATAATTTAGTGGTTGCATTTTTATGTGTTTTGTATCCCTTAATCATTACCCCTACCCTCATTGCTTCAGTAATTCAGCTCGTATGCTAATTTATTGAAATAACATTAAATAATATGAAATTCTGTCATCCACACAAAATGGAAGGAAGGGAAGTGGCTAGAACTTATAAAAAATGTTTACTGGTAATTCTTTTTAAACATTTTGTTAATATACCAAACTATTAAAACTTTTCTCATTGTCTTTACAGTATAACCTGTTAGCTTTGATAGTTGAGTGAGCCTTCACTCTTAACCACTGAGCCACTAGGGCTCCCCTGTAATATGATTATTAGAGCTGAATAAAAAGCAGGTTAAATGTCTAGGAACAAAAATTCATCCATAAACAGAATTGCACATCTACACAGAATCCCTGCCACTTGTAATTTGATGCACCTTGATAACGACCCTATCTGGACACAGGGGCCTATTACAGTTTGAAGACATTTCAAGTAGATCTCTTATCCTGGTAGACAGAATAAGTTTAGAAATAGAAAATACCAAATTCTGAAATGTCATTGTAAATGTCACGAGGATAGGTATATCATCTTACTGACCAAATACATACTTTTTCCTTAGTATTGAATTTGACCGGGATTGTGACTATTTTGCCATTGCTGGGGTTACAAAGAAGATTAAAGTGTATGAATATGGCACAGTCATCCAGGATGCAGTGGATATTCATTACCCTGAGAATGAAATGACCTGCAATTCCAAAATCAGGTACTTAACGTTATTTTGTTATTTTATTATGATGTAGTATGTATATAGCAATTGGTATCTGTAATTGGTATGAGGGTGTTAATTTACTTTTCCATGTGACACCTTACTTATCAGGTGAACATTGTGCTTGTACCATGTATATGGAGAATACTTGACTTAAAACAGAATATCTTTTTTCTAGATATTGATTCTTTTGCCCATGGGGGTTAGTATGTATTGTTTTTCTAATTACCAAATGAAAGTCCATTCTTTCACAATCAAATAAAGGTCTTTTTTGGAGATGGCCTTTGATGGGGTGTTGAATAAAAGGTTATGGTCACCTATGGATAATGTTTGAAAGCTAGAAATTTTTCTCCTAGCATGCACATATTTCTAAATACTATAATTTATGTATGTAGTTTTAAGAGTTCTTTTTCACAAAAACATTCTGCTGCTTTTTATTGAAGGAATAATATTTAACTTTCATATATTAAGGATTGGAATTCAAAAGGGATTTTTTCAAACTTGGAATGTTTATTAAAAATGTGGGAACTGAGCCTTACTCCTGATTTGTCCAGTAAAATCTCAGAGAAATTCTAGAATCTGTATTTTGTCTTTAACAAGCTTCCCAAGCTATTCTCATGGGCACTGGCTTAGAAAGGATATCCTTTAAATAAGTAATCTAATAATAAATTTATTTAGAACTTCGAACATTTCAAAACAGTCATCCTTGTACCTTTCTTGATTAAATACACATATAGTATGTGTGTATGTGCATTTTAATATATATTATTTATATGTATTAAGCCTTGATCTATAGTTTTTGTTATAGCTTTCCTTTTTGTTTCCCAATTCATTCAAAAAATATTGAACCTTGATAGTTTGTGAGTGATACTCGTCATTGAGAATCTGTTATAGTTTATGTCCTAAGTGGAGGGAATAAAACATGAGCAAGACATAACTTCATTGAATGTTTATGTGTCAGCCACTATACTAAGTGCTTTGTCTTCAGCAGAGTTATGAGATGGTTATCATTATTGCTTCATTTCATGCACAAGGAAAATGAGGCACAGAAAAGTTAAATAACTTGTTTAAGATTATACAACTAATATGTGAGGAGCCATGACTCAAATGGGGGTAGTTTGGTTTCAGTCTGTACTCTTAACCATTTCATTGTACTTACTTATAAAGTAGAGGCTTTCCTCCTTAATACACGTGAGCATTACTATATGTATGATGTAGATATGTCTCAGGAAGAGCATACATTTTTAGATGGTGTAGATTTTCAGAATCCTTGACAATAGCTGAAACCATAAATACTGAAGATTTGTTAGACACTTTTAATTGTAATTTCAGTCATAACCTTTTATTAGTCAAGTTTTTTCAGTGTACATATAGAAACCCATTCTGACACAGTAGAATCCAGGGGCTTAAACAATACAATCAGGTCTCCGTCATTCTATCATGACATGCTCTGGGCCCCCTGGGCCTCTGTCATCTTCACTCACAGACATGTTCTCATATATCAAAGATGGCCAGTGGCAGTCATTACCTGATAGTTGTAATAAAAAATCTAGGAATTATTGATATATCTCTTTTCTCGTATGTTGTGGGCATAATGATGGTTATGAACTCATATAGACCATTTTAAAAGGGTACTAATTTTTCTGAACACATTAAAATTATTTATATTCCATTGTTATTTATTTTTACTTAAAATTTAATGCTTAACTATATTTCTCTTTTAGCTGTATCAGTTGGAGTAGTTATCATAAGAACTTGTTAGCTAGCAGTGATTATGAAGGCACTGTCATCCTATGGGATGGATTCACAGGGCAGAGGTCAAAGGTCTATCAGGTAAATAAGGATACCAGTTATTTGTTACAAGAATCACTTTCTCGCTTTTCTTAACAATTGTAGAAGTTCATGTACTTTATAAGTACAGATTTGAAGTCACTATTTGGTGTTTTTTATACCTGTGTAATACCAAATAATACTTTTCCTTCTTTTTTTCTTTTTTAGTGCTATAAATAAAATAGATTTTATTTAATCCATATGTCTAGAATGCTTTTTGGTTTTTTCCTAGCATAAATTTTTTAAAAAAATTTTTATTGTGCATTAGATGAAAGTTTACAGAGCAAATTAGTTTCCCATTTGATAGTTTGTACATAAAGTGTTCCATGACATTGATTTCATTCCCTACAATGTTTTAGCACTCTCCCCATTTCTGTCCTAGGTTCCCCATTTCCTTTTGTCTTGATTTTCTACCCCTTCTTACCTTCTCATCTTTGCTTTTGGGCAGATGTTACCTTTTTGATCTTGTATAATTGATTGTTGTAACATCCAGCTCCTCTTGGATGTTATTGTTTATTTTATGGGCCTGTCTATGGTTTGACTGAAAGATGGTCTCCGAGAATGGCTTCAGTTCTAGTTTAGAAGGGTGTCTTGGGGCCATAGTCTCAGGGGTTCCTCCAGTCTCTGTCAAACCACTAAGTCTGGTCTTTTTTGTGAATTTGATTTTTTGTTCTACAATTTTTTCTCCTGCTCTGTGTGGGACCTTCTGTTGTGATCTTAGTCATAGCAATTGTTAGTGGTGTCAGGGTACCATCCATCTAGTTCTTCTGGTCTCGGGATCGTGTAGGCTATCATTCGTGTAGTCCATTATTCCTTTGGCCTAATTGCTTCCTTGAGTCTTTGGTTTTCTTCACTCTCCTTTGCTCTGGATGGTAAGAGACTAGTAGTTGTGTCTTAGATGGCCACTCGTAAGCTTTTAAGATCCCAGGCACTACTCACCAAAGTAGGATGCAGAACTTTGTCTTTATGAACTATGTTGTGCCAGCTGACCATGTAGATGTCCCTTGAGTCTATGATCCTTTGCCTTTGAGTCTAGGAACTTCGTTCCAAATGATGCTTTTCTGAAGCATCTCTTCAGACTTTTACATTTATAGAATACATGAAGTGAATTTCCAAATGGAATAATTTTGGTTAATCCACATATGAAAAAAAGTTTTGGAACTGCTTTGCATTTGTAATCTTAATTTGCTTTTCATTTATGTTTCATATAGCCTGTTCTGTCTCCCTTCCCCCATAGCAATAAATTGGTATCAAGTTTTGTTTTTTTTTATTTAATTATTTGAAGGTACATATTCTGTCTGAGACTAATTTGTCTTCCTTCTAAATTCAGGAGCATGAGAAGAGATGTTGGAGTGTTGACTTTAATTTAATGGATCCTAAACTCTTGGCTTCAGGTTCTGATGATGCAAAAGGTACTATTTGAACCTCTCCCTTCCCCCTCCCCACTTAGTTCCTTTTGTTGCAGAGATTAAAACATTTATTAAAACTCATAGCAGGCCTTCGTGATTACTGATTAAGCACAAAAATCTATTTCTCTTTTGGAATGAAAAAAACTAATGTACTGCAACCTCATTATAGTGATGTTTTCTGGATTCATGCTACATGGTGACATTTAGAATTGCTGCCATTTTATAACCAGGTCTCTTAGATAATTTAGCAAAAAAACTCACTTCGTGGTATATTTAGAAATCTCTGTACTCTGAATTGTGTTATTGAATAGCTAGTGTATACAAAACTCCTTAATGACATTTTTAAGATTTCTGGGCAAAACTTCTACATCTCTTTCTGCCAATTTAATTAATCTCTCTTTTTTATTTTTTTTTACATATCCATCTTTACTATGTATTTTTCTCTGCTGTCCTTATTGTCCTGTTTTGGTGTCTGTTCTCCTTACTATCAGATTTATACAGCCCTGGTGACAGATTTCTTTTACCTTGGAGTTAGTAGTATTAATTTCTTTGCTCTTTCCTTCCCCTTTTTCTACACATAACATCTAGACTAGTGGTTAGATAGGCATGGATAGCTCTATCATTGGAAGCTGTATTTCACATTATACTATGCCTTTCACTTTGCCCTTTTTTATGCATAGTTGGATTGTAGTCTCATTTTTTTATTTTTGTAAAGAAATTCTGCTATGATGACATTTTATTTTAAGATTTCTAATTTTTCTGACTGTTGCATTCCTGTAAATTGGTAATATTATGTTGAGTATTTTTTTCTGGTGATGTATATTTGTATTGTGGTTTTTTGTTTTTAGCATAGCTATAGTGTTACTGCATAATAAACACAATGCTTTGTCATCTAATTTGATAACAGAACAATCCACACTCCATTGTGCCTTAAAAGGCAACATTTGAAGTCTACTTTACTTTTTTTGTTTTGATGTCATGGGTATGTACTGATAATACAAAAATAAAATGTCACAGTGTAGCAATACAGGTGGTACTCAAAATGCTGTTTAGTTTAACTGTGTCACTGTAATTTGTAGTGTGTTGAGCAGCAATGTGAAATGATGAGCACACAACATATGGTCTCTGCTTCTCTCTGCTGTTGGAGCATAAAAGCAGCCATGGGCAATACGTAAATGAATGAGCACAACTGTGTTCTAATAAAACTATCTACACTGACATTTGAATTTTATATAATTTTCACATCATGAAATATTATTGTTTTGATTTTTTTTCCAATTATTAAAAACGTAAAAACTGTTCTTAGCTCAAGGGCCGTGCAAAACCATTTGGTGGGCTGGATTTGCCCCATGTGCTGTAGTTTGCACATTCCTGCTCTAGCCACTCAGGAACGTGTGTGCAAAATGATTTGACCACTGCAAGAATTTTATAAACACCAGCTCAATCAAGATACAGAACAGTTCCATCATCCACCCCGAAATACTCTTGTGCTGTCCCTTGTTTTTTTAGATTGCTAGTTATCACTTTAATAGACTTGATTTGAATACAAGAGAAAGACTGGAGCAATTCAATAGCTTTTAGGTCAGCTTCTCACTTTTTTTTTTTTTTAATTGTACTTCAGGTGAAGGTTTACAGAACAAACAGTTTCTCATTAAACAGTACACATATTGTTTTATGACATTGGTTAACAACCCCACTACACGTCAACACTGTCCTTACTCAACCATGGGTTCCCTATCACCAGCTTTCCTGTCCCCTTCTGCCTTCTAGTCCTTGTCCCTGGACTGCTGTGCCTCATTAGTTCTGTTTTATTTTATGGGGCTGTCCAATCTCCGGCTGAATGGTAAACCTTGGAAGTGACTTCACCACTGAGCTAAAAAGGTATCCGGGGGCCATACTCTTGGGGTTTCGTCAGTCTCAGGCCAGTAAGTCTGGTCTTTTTTTGTGTGTGTTAGAATTTTGTTCTACATCCTTCTGCATCTCTGTTCAGAACCCTCTGTTGTGATCCTGGTCAAAGCAGTCAGTGGTGGTAGCCAGGCACCATCTAACTGTACTGGACTCACTCTGGTGGAGGCCTTGGTAGCTGTGGTCCATTAGTCCTTTGGACTGATCTTTTCCTTGTATCCTGTT